TTGCATATGCAATTTGCTTGAAAAATAAACTAATCGTCCAGAGCCGGACCGAAATCTTAAAGATCCAACCAAATTTAATTTGGTACATAAGAGATATAGCAGTGGAAGTCAGACAGCTAAATATACGAGTTTATATTTAAGTAGATTTCACTAGTTATTAATAAGTTATTAATTCTATCCAAATATTAACTTGAAAAGTTTACTTCGTTAGCAAACAAACTACTAGTATATATTTCTCTATCAATTGACAAAACTTGAATCAATTACTTGTAAATTTATCGGAGCAAATTCGTATGGAACAATTATCTATGTTGCTGATTGCCGCAGGAATGTTGTGGAACTTATTAGCTAACTAATTTCCAAATAAACGGAAACTTGAATGACACTAATGACAGGCAACAAGATTAGATTAGCAATCGATAGCGACTACACCTTTTAGTTTCGTCGGACATATATAAGAATATATAAACACATATATGTATATCTGTATACTTGTATGTATGGTGTATAAATATAGAATTGACACGAACCCCACTTTCATTTAAGATGGCGATGGCGATGGCGGTTAATCAAGTGCCCGCCACTCTTACGTAATTGCCACAATGCCGTGGCAGATGCGGAAAACAAAAATTGAGTAAAACACCGAACTATGGCCACGAAGATATTTCCGGTAAATTGGAAGCCGGAAGAAGGAAATTAGATCATTTCAAACCGTAACAAGCTGACGGTTAACTAGCGATGACACAGCGGCTGAGCATGGTTGAGTGTATGTATTATTTGTGAAGTGATGTTGGTCGCCGTTGCGCACAAAAAGTGTACACACTCATTCATGCATATAAAGCTCGGCGGCAGCCGACAGACAACGGCAAGCTTAAAGGATACAAGGCAACGCAAAAACAAAAGGACACACACCACTACATACATACACTTGTTCCGACAAACGCACAAAGGCAAAGTAGCCGCAACACAGCGGTGAAAGCAACACGAATGCGGATGAAGGGGAAGCCAAGGAAAACGAATGAGCGCGAAGGTAACAAATAAGGGTGAAGTAGCATGATTGAGGATGAGGGGCGAAGAAGAATGGATGTGGACGAAGGACGTTGTAGAATCAAACAAAGCTTTGGCAGCCAATTTCATACCGAAAGTGTTCGATTTTTTTCGCTCATTTGTGCGTTGAGGTGTAACCGCGTGCAACGAGCCGAAATATGGGTGTGTATACGTACATACAGACAATTTTTGGTCCTTCTCTTTCGATGGACTATTATTTTGCGGCATGTTGCTTCATTAATTTGCCAGCGTTGATGGTGACGTTAAACAAATATTTGGTTGCCGAAGCGCTGTAGGAGGCTACATAAGTGCGGACACATGCGGGTATGGCGGCTACTAATTTATTAAGTTAGCTCACAAGAAGAAATATTGACTGAAATTATTTACTAAACACACACCTTAGGTTGGATAATCGTGCACAAATGGGAAAAGTATTTCAGCAAACTAAATATGTTTACAGTTACTTTCGTTAGTTTGGTTAACTAGGTGTACAATGTGTGTGTGTGTAGGAAAATTTAGAGGTGAAAAATGTGGTGCGTAGAATTAAAAAAAAGGGGTTTATGATAGTGCTTGAGTGGTAGAGGGTGGGGAGATATACAGAACTTAACTTTTTTTTATACTAGTAGATGCGGAGAGATTGAGAAATATCTCTTTTTACGCCGGATTAATCATAATTTTAGAAGAATATTTTTTGAACTGTGAAGCTTTCGGCTTCTTTGTAAATGATATAGAGTTGTAGAGTATACACCTTTTTGGACTCAGGCTAATTTTTCTTCTTCTTCTTGCTTCAATTTTAAGCTAACCAATAACCCCAGCAAGTTCTAAGCTATACCCTAGATCAGTAAGGAAAATTTTTTCAAAGAGTTCATTATAAAAATTTGTCTAGTGTTATTACAACTGGTTTGAAGTTGTGTGGGAAATAATGGCTTCTTGTCCAAACCTATCTAGACATTGTGACGTGAAACTCAGTTTCGAACCAAGAAACACCGGTCCGCCAAGTAGTTTAAAATAATATATAGGTATGTATGTATGTAGGTAGAGGTCGCTAGGCAGAACGGGGCGATCTTACAACCGAATCTAACAAAAAGAAGTACTTTGAAACATTATTCTAACTATGAAGATGAGTCAACAATCTCTTGGAGTAAATTCAACTGGAGGACAATATAATTGCGTGCACATAAAAATTTCTTAACCAGAGATAGAAGCATTCCCAATTTTGTTATGAATACTGACTTAAATAGCATCCAAAGCTGATTAAAGATTCGAACAACTGGTCTGTTAGATAAGCAAGTACTTGTAGCATTTGAAGTAGAATCCACACTCTCTTATACTGATTTTCACTGAAAGACAATATAGTTGCTTTCACATGAAATTTGCGAGAGAGAACCATTCCCGATTCTGTTATGAATTCTGACTTAAAGAGCATCCAAAACTTAAAGATTGGTGAGTCGAAGAAGAAACTGGTATAAACAAGTAGAGTTAGATAAGCATGCTTTATATCACTTTGAAGAATATTTATTATTTATTTATTATGAATTCAACTGGTGAACAATATGGTTGCTTTGACATGCAAATATTTTAGCTAGTGAGAAGAGCAAAGAAGTGATAGGGCGATAATGCAAATCTATGTAGTCTCGTCTGAACTAAAGTGATGTTTTGAACAAACAACTGGCATAAATAAAATAGCATGATATCATCAAATATATTTATAGTATACATACATAAAGAGGTTACGCCCCTTTAGTGAGATATTTACATACTCTCTTCTATTGCATTCAACTAGTTAAATTTGTTATGACTTTCAAAATAAACTAACATTGAATGACGAATCGAACACGTAGCTATTTATTATTTTAATTACCCAGAGTTTCCTCGCTGAATACTCCACATATTTATTATCTGTAAAACTTTTCTTGCATTTTGCATGCAATTAACTTTAAAGATAATAAACAGATAAACAAGCTGAAATTCATGACATATCTGTCAATGTTCTCGTTGCTGCCAATATTAATATTTCATTAATGAAATCCGATTAATAGCTTGTCAACAAACCACGTGTCTTTGGGCCAATGCACACAACAATATCGAGGATATATTATATGTATGTATATTTGAGTCGATGCGCATACAAACATATGTATAATATTACCAACGTCTATTTATGTGCATATAGGTGTATATATGTGTTGATGAGTGCAAACACTCGCTGCTCAAATATAGGTAACATAATGCCCGCAAAAGTTTTAATGATGATTGGGCGATGCGCGATGTGCGTTGCCCGTTGCGGGATGCGGTAATCGATATGTTGCTTGCATGTTGTAAATTTTTATTAAGGATTAACGCTGACACATGTCACTGTGCAGGTCCTTTAAATCGATTGCCGACTTCCTGTCAGTTACCTTCGCTTATGCTAAGTATGTAGGTGGGTAGCTGAAGCGTAAAACAATGCGTGCGTACTAGATGCAGAAAAATGTGGAAACTTATTTAAGACATTAGCCGGGTCTCATAATGAGGAGAGCAACTATTAGGATTTAGTAAGCCCCGGGTTATAAATTTTCAGCGAAAGACCAGCGTTGCTTCGAAATTTCTCTGCTCGTTATAATTGAGCTCGGCCGTAATGTCAAAGGGTTCAAGTTAGTTATATCAAACTATGTGATTTATACCAGTTTATTCACCTCAGTTTAACTTTTTCGCATCAAAATTCTTTCGACTTTTTTTATTACATTCTTATTATTCTTAAGTGTATCAAACATTTTAGTCTTCAGATCGTTACCAGCTATTACAATACCGAGGTCTATTTAATCGAAACATTTCTCTTTCCATTACTTCTATGCTCGTTACGTTTGAGTTCTTCGCCTATAGCAAATAGTTTAACTTAATTATACCAATTTATGTGATTTATACCAGTTCTTTCTTCATTTGGCAGTCTAAGGCTTGATACTTTTTAGATGGGAAGGTTTTCGACGGATTATTTAAAAATATTGTTTTGGTATTATATCAACAAAACTTGAGAGACAAGGTCATTGCCATTTTGTATAACATAGGGGCTTATTTAACAAAATTCGTCATGGATTATCCACTTCACAGGCCGCCATGTTTAAACTTGGCTTACTTATCAAAGAAAATTCTTGTAAAAGCATAACATTATTGTTGCTGTAGTTGAGCCAAATATATGAGGCTACCTCGTTACGCTTTTACAAAATTTGTATATAAAAGAATAATATTGTTATTGCTGTAGTTGGACCAAATACAAGGAAGTATCAGAAGACTTCATTCAGGTCATAAAAACGTCTGTTTTCCCTTTATATTGCTTTCTACCACTCTTGTAAGAGTTATACCAGTTGGCTGATCTATTTGCCACGCATTAGTGAGTGATAAATCGAAAGCCGAATTGTTTCCCTTCGCAAGCGAATGCCACTAGTCTTAATTGGGCGAAATTTAAATGAAGGTCACCGAGAAAATTCGACGAGGATAACCAAAAGAAACTACGTTGACATGATAGTTTCGCCTAAAGAGCGAAAAGAGCCCAGTTTTTTAGCTGGCGAACAATTTCAACTCTCTAACTTATCTGAATGCCAATTGGGGAGTCTTTTATGTCCCTAAAACATTAAACGCCAACAAAACCACAACAAACTTCTAATTGTATTTAGTATACTACTCCCCTGCTCTCTAAAAGCGAATCTCAAAATATAAAGTAAACTGGAAATATCGAATCATTCTGCTCCAACCTAATGATCACACACACATACAAACACAGTTAAACACACATGCGTGCTATCTACGGCTTCGTGTGTCCGCACAACAATGCCACATTGTACATAATGTATTAAAATAATGATATAATGTGTATATAAAAACCGCTTTCAGTTTAAATAATAATTATGCAATTTGTGTAATAAGTAAAAAAAAGCAGAAACAACAATAAGCAAACCGCCAACAAGTGATGAACTTACATAAGAGAGCCGCTGTGTTTGTCAGTTGCGCGCTGCCCGGATTGGTGGCAGCATTGGCGAGTGAGGGTTGCGTCATCGCCGCAATAGCGGCCAAGTTTTGTACCGTCATCGGTGGTAGTAATCCAGCTGCGGCGGCAGCAGCCGTTGCCGCGGCCGTTTCCGCAGAACTCGCCTGAGCGCCCAAACCTGCAGCAAAGAAAATAAAATTTTCACATTTTAACCCACGTCACATAACAGCGAGTACTACATATTATATAACCAGCGTGTACAAGCACGCTCGCCCACAAAATGACCACAAACGGCGGTCACCGCTGCGGGTACGCACCTTGCAAAATTTGCTGCTGCAGGCCGACCGCCTGCAACTGTTGCAGCAATTGCAGTGAGGCCGGTGTAATGGCATCGGCGCCCAACACCGGACTCGCCTGTTGTGGCGGATTCGGCAGTATGGGCGTTGAAACGGTAGTGGCGGTCTGACCCAACGGTATATTTATGTTCGATGCCAGATTCCAGAGATTCGCCTGTATTTGCTGGATCTTCTTTTGCTCCTTCTCCTTTTGCGTATCGGCAAATTTCACAACCAGTGGCGATGTGCAACCATCCATTGTCTTGTTTTGGTTCAAAGTCTAAAGTAGAGAAAATAGATTAGTTAAATTTTGCTTTAAAAGAGCTGCATCAAGCGAGCGTAACAAATATTGCATTTGGCGCTAATTGGTCGCACATTGAAGTGAAATTTTCATTGAAGGGAATTTAATATCATTCGAAACGATGGCATTACCACTTTTATCGCTGATATCGCCGCGTGTTTAGTGGCAAATGTAACAAAGGCACACCCTTTACTCTGTCCGTTCTGATCCCGCAAGACCGTGCACTCTTCGATGGCGCCGTGAACTTCGAATAATTTGCGTACGTCGTTCTCGTTCAGTTTCTTATTGAGCATTCCAACGAAAAGCTTCCGTTCTGCAAAGAAGAGCAGCAAAAAAAGGTTATTTAGCTTACAAAATTGTGCACAATTGTTTGAATTTGTAATATTTTCTAGTTTGAATATAACACCTTGCTTCGTAAGTTGATTGTTAGCGAATTTGCAACCCTTCGAGTATTTTTTATACCCGATACGGTATTAAAGTTTTTGTTTATATATTGATATAAGCTTGAGACGCTTAAAGCAGCACAAAAGAAATTAATTTCGAAGCCGGATGTCTATTTCTCGGTCTGTGCGTATTTTCTCCCTGCCGTCGGTCTGTGTATGTCAGCGATGAGTAAAAATTTTCGTATCTAAATGGCACTTGAAGTATGTATCTTCTGTCACACTGAGGAGGTGGGTATTGTAAATAGGTGAAATCGGACTATTGTTAAGCCCAGCCAATTAAAATGGTGAACATCGTAGTACAACCACGCCTACTTACATTAGACCACAATTTTAAATTCCATCAGATTCTTTCACTTTTTCATAGATAAATCAAAAATCCATAAATATAAAAAAATTGCTTTTTTAAATCCCAGATATGGAACATAGACCCTCAGTGCCTATAACCAATTTCATAACAAAAATATCAGTCAATTTGCGAGTCATCTTAACTAATTTAAGCGGCATCTATTTCTGTTAATAATGTGACCAGGTGCTAAAAATGAATTAAACCGATTTAGTACTTCACCTAGCCCCCTCTAGCTAATATAAAAAGATAAAAGATAGAATAAAAAGTTAGATATCTTAGCAAAATTATGTAATCTAGTATAACATTGATTGATATCGAAAGGTCGTACCAGCATCGAAGAATTGCCGAAGGTCGTATTTTACGTCTATCGTTGCAACAATGAATCGTATCAGCGAATACCTAATAACCTTCGGAACTATGAGTATCATTGGTTAGCATTGTGATATTTAGCCGACTAGAACCAAAGAATATACTGCCATAGAAGAAATTGCCTTCTCAGCTGAAACTATGGTTATAATCATATATAAATCGATAATTGTCGAGAGATCGATTATGCTGATTCTCATTATGGTCTTCGAAATCTCGACGGGAAATTCCAGAGTTATGTAGCAATTAACATTATATCCCAAGTAGTTCAAGCTATACGACTGTTCGTTCTAACTGACGCTATAAGAAGTAAATATAGGCTTCTATAATAAAGAGCCATAAGCAGAACCCCCTTAAAAATATTCGAAAGAAAGGAAATGAAATGAAATATATATAATAGATACTTTCTCTGGTACAAGTTTATGTCATAAATAAAAGCAAATTATCTAAAAAAATATACACAATATGATTTGTTGTCCCTTTAGTCAGTCAGTTTTGGATTTATGGAGAAGAATTTTATTTTCATATACTAATTCTTACAATTACTCATACGTGATTATTCTCAGTGTAACAGTTAATGAGTGCCGGTAGAGCTACGTTGAATGCTTGTAAAACAACTCTAGTGTGAAAATACTGGCTTGGGTATTCATTACAATGCTAAAAACAACTGTTGTTGTATTCAAGCCCAAGATATACACCTACATAGATATTTCTGTAATTTTTCGAAATTCAAGTTCATGTAAGTCACCAATGCAGCACGGAAATGAACTTGAAAATTTTCAGTGTCAACAACGTGATACCTTCGGCTAAGGCGTTTGCCGACTTTGACGCTTCACATTTGCTTGAAATCTTGAAGGCGGTGGAAGCCGACACCCGAAGCAAGTATATGCATATATAAAGAAATAATTTCTATTCTTACAGATAGCAATGAAAAACGACCATCACTATTAAAGTAAGCGAAAATAAAGCTTTGTCTAGAAAAGTTAAAAAATGGCACACAACCTTATTTTTTTTATATGATTTTGCAACGGTCATACATAATGCATTCGCACAAAAACTTTCCCGCTATGCATTAAGGTTTCGGATTAAGTGCAAGGATAGAAACCACAAGTTAAATTAAAGGAAATGCATGGAGACTCCGAAAGTGCAATACCACTAAGCGCCCTGATCCTCTTCAATTATGTAATTAAGAATATTTTTTAGTAAAAATGTGATGGTTAATCTCTCATCAGCTATGGATTATTATAAATTTGAAATATGGTGAAACGAGGTTTAATTTACATATTATAATTTCTTGAACGAAAGAGTCAATAGAAAAGAGTTTAAATGACAAACGATTGCATTTAAACCTCAAAAATAGGGTTAAAACCCGCAAATTGTGAATCCTAAACACTGAATAAACTGCTTCTTTCCAATCTTCCGAATTGTTTTATTCCAGGCTCATAAAGAAAATTACAGTAATAACTCTTAGCTAATCAGAATAGAGTATTGGAAGCAGCTCATTAGAATGAATTAAGGGAGAAAATGGTACAAATAGTTACAATACAAACATCGACCAGATCAAGTTGATTTCCACATGAGCGCCTACTGTCGGTTGGCTGTTTATCTTCTGACTGCATGCTTGAAAGCATGCTTAGGCTCAATAGATGAAAGCGGCTTTTTCAGTGGCAGGAGATGAACGGCTATGAAAAAATCCATTTTACAGATAAAACAGTTTTTAATAAGCACAACGACAAAATCTACGCAAATACTTCCAAAGACGCCAAAAATGTTATTGGGTGTATGCATTAATTCGTGCGGCGAAAATTAAGACTTTATTGTGAAAAAATTGTTATACATTTAATGTTCAAAGTATTGCCCATCGGAAGCTATGATGTTTGCCCATCTTTCTGGCAGTTTGTGGATCCCATCCCAAAAGAACTTCTCCGGCTTGGAGGTCAAGAAAGAATCAATCAAATTTCTGATACCTTATTCTGAAGAGAAGCGTACTCCGGTGAGGGCATTCTGCATTGATCTGAACAAGTGGTAATCGGAAGGTGCTATGTCTGGGCTATAAGGCGGGTGAGGTAGAACTTCCCACCCACAGTTTTCCAAATAGTGTTTAACTGGCCTTCCAACATGTGGCCGAGCGTTGTCATGATGAAAAATTATTGATTCGTGTCTGTCTGTTGTACTTCGTTCATTACGTATTGCTGATTATGCTGAACAAATATTGAATGCATTCACGCGACCAATCATTATTTGGTAATAAATTTGCACGATTTTCAAACGCTGATTGAGTAAATCTATGCATTATAAAAGCAAATCAAACTGTATAACTCAAATAACAGCTGTCAAAAGACCAACTTCGAAATAAGTATTGACTTATTCTAAAAATATCCATTACTCGTAGTCAAAAATTTAAGCACTTATCCAAATAAAGCAAAGTTTTAGAGCACTGGTATCCCAGATGACATAGTACTTGTGTATATATATTTTTACTACTCACCTTTTATAACTACATCTCCGTTTAAAATCAATTACTAAGCAATTAATACCAAAATCTGCATCTAATGGAATTTTATTATTTTTAAAATAATTATTAGGTACTTCAAAGGAACTATTGAGTTATGCTCAAATTATATTATGAAAATTTCCATGCAAAACGTTTTGCAATTTCCTTTGTTTTAATAATAATTATTTCTCTAAAATATTCTCTTTATATAAGCTAACTTTAATCTCAAATAAATTAATAAATTTCGACTTGTCTTCCTCATCTTCCTTGCTCAAACTCATGCTCATTTCTTGAGATTTTATTACAAAATAATTTGCTTAAAATTGAAACATTCCACAATAAAACTGTATATTATCTGCAATAAAATGAAGTGGAACGCTTCAAGTGAAATTTAATATTAAATCTAATTTGGCAACGTAGGAAATTGTACATAAAATTTAAACTTTTATTTCACATTGTAGGCAACAAGAGGAGTCTCTGCATTTTTGGCTCCATTCTGCATTACCTGCTTCGGCACGCTCTTGATTAGTATGTACGTTAGTATTTATATCAGCATGTGAATAAGATTTTCGATGTCAATTACTAACTGCCATATTTTAAGGCAGAGTATTAACCTGCTTTAGTATGGCACATTTATCCATATATATACGAGTATACAATATTTGGGCGCATTACTTATAAAGAATATTTTGGATATACCGTTAGCAATTAAATCTTTAATGTTTCTTCCATGTCAGTACTATATTGCATTCTTTTACGTGTAACCAGTAGTATCATTCTAAAACCATGCCATAAGTTCTGTTACAAGTTCAGACCATTATAAAATAAAACTATAATAGATTTTTAACAAATAAATTTTTATTAACTAAAGATTTTTAGAGACTCTTTAAATTTCTGTGCTATTACAATTAAATCTTTAATGTTTCTTCCATGTCAGTACTATATTGCATTCTTTTACGTGGTAACCAGTAGTATTATTCTAAAAATCATGCCATAAGTTCTGTTACAAGTTCAGACCATTATAAAAATAAAACCATAATAGATTTTTTAACAAATACATTTTTATTAACTAAAGATTTTAGAGACTCTTAAATTTCTGTGGCTCAATTGATAGGCCATGTTCTTCAATTTTCACCACAAGTGTAGTCCTATGGATTCAAATCTGACAATCATCTGCTGCTATGTAACCATAAATATTGCGTTGAAGCCGCTGCTAAGTGGGTTTTGTGTTGTGTTTCTTCTGCTCCATCGAAGAAAGTATTGCTTAACTGCTTTACCATGCCTTCTAAAACATCCTGCTGATACAATTTTACCAGTTTAACGCCTTTACACAAAGTGTAAACCACCAAACCAGTACAGCAACTAGATGGTGACCACGTTGAACCTTTGTATTATTGTGTATGCATTAATTCGTGCGGTTTTCTAAGAGAGGCTCTACTAGTATTATTTCGCGTCGTATTCATCTGTGGCTATATTCATTTCAAAGGTACTGCCATTTCGCGTCGTTTTCAGTAGATATAAATTGTTTGAGCGTGAACAACAATTTGTTTCATTCATTTGAAAATGTCGAAATTGTACCAGATAAAAGTGTTTTTGCGGGAGTTCTTCTTCATTATTTAACATGAAGAAAAGTGCTGCAAAGCCATCGTATTTTACTGGACGTT